AGTGTCATTGTCCAGCAAAGTGTCCCTCAACTTTCCTGATTCTAAGTACGTAAAACTCCAGTGATGTCAATGAAAGAAAAGCCACATCTGACAGCCCATCATTTAATCTTTCAAATGTGTCAATAGGCTTTACCCTCTGAAATGTATTTGGAATGCGGGGACAGAAATAGTGCAGGAGTGAGAATAATTGAGTCCAGTTGGAGAAAGTTTGGGAGTTGAAGCATTTCAAAATGGAACAGCTCACTGTGTAATTATCCTTTCTGATCTCTACAACTTTGACCAGAACTGCTATGCTCACTGTGGAATTTGTAGCAAGAACAGCAAGAATGCCATTTTAGTATTTTAATTGAAACATTTACATTCTTCAGCTTATCTTATTTCCACTCATCATGGAATATGTTTGTTCACTGCAGGGAAAACTTTCGACAGTTTTTAAGATCTGTGATGCATTTCCTTAAAAACATTGTAACATTGATCTCCAACACTTTAATACTCAGGGCCAAGCAGAATAAATATGCATCATTTTAGTTTGTGTGAAAGCTAGATATATTATATATTCCAAGATTTAATTAGTTTGCAGATTTAATTAACAACTGATGATATATAAAGACCCAGACAATGAAGGTCATGTTACAGGGCTCACACTTTTATTGTTGATGCACCTTTCTTGAAAACTGTAACCATTGTTTGGCCAATCAGGGCTGCTGAATACTTTGTGAACTGTGAGAGGATCTCCAAAGTAAATTGCAAAATGCTGTGGTTCTACAGAAGGGACAGAATACTTGTTATTTCACTAAGCATGGACAGTGCACCCAGGTTTGCACTTTTCTATAGGGAGTTTTAATGGGAACCTTAACTTACTTAAAATTGTGCAATCAGTCATCTTGCTTAATGATATAACACAGACATATCACAAATGTTATGGAGCAGAAGGAGGCCATTCAACCCATCATGTCTGTACCAGCTCTTCAAGCAGGCATCGTGCCAATCTCCTGCCTTTTCCACATACCCTTGCTCATTGTTTCAGTTTAAATAATCATCCTGCCCTCTTGAATGCCTTAATTGAACCTTCCTCCGCCACAAAATTCTAGGCTGTGCATTCCAAACCCGGACCACAAATTGTATGAAAATGTTTCTTCTCAACTCAACATTTCTTCTTTTGCAAATTAGTTTAAACCTATGCCCTGTCATTCTACCACCTATTATGATCAGAACTGTTTCTCCCAATCTTACTCTATCCAGCCTCTTTAAGACTTTGAAAGCTTACATCATATGTCCTTTTAGTCATCCTCTCACCAAGAAGAACAGTCCCAACCTCTCCAGTCTATCTGCAGGACCGATGTTTCTCATTTCTGGAAACATTCTTGTGGCTCTCTTCTGCACTCCTTCTAATGCATTCTCATTCTTCCTAACTAACGATTAACAAATTATCAGAACTACTAACAAACTGAACAATTCCTCCTTAACTACTGACTATTCCCAAATAAAACAAAATTCCAATGGTATGCTGTTCTAATAGATACAAATCCCACTTGTATAAAGCAAATTAATTTTTCTTAAATTTAAAATTTAAAACTTAGTCCCTCAAAATTACTGGCAGGATATGTCTTCTGGAATGTTCTTTGCCTTCTCCAGTGTCCTCCAGTCATGAACACCTCCCTCCGTTGAATTCTTGTGTCAGGAATATTAGCTAAGAGTGCCATAGTACCTTTATTCAGATGGTACTTACTCTGAAAACGTAGAAATTTCTGTGAGAGCCAGTGAGTTTCTCTTCAGATGGCAGTTCACTCTAAACCTGATTTTCAGATAACTTCTTCTTTTATACCATTGATGACCTATCAATTTCTTACAACAGGATTGGTCCTAGTTTGTCAAAATCATCAGGTTTAAATTTAGTTGGTTTTTGATAAATAGGGCCTTGTTTAAATTAATTGGCTAAGTTCAAAAGCCTGTTGTCTTGGTAAAAATGCTACTTTGTCCGCTAATAGTATAGCCTTTTGATACAATTTTTTAAATCTCCAAGCGTAGAAAAAAACACTATCTTTTAAAGGGACCATGCACCCCCCCACCCCCATCATTTTACAAACAAATTCTAATGGCCTGCATTCCAATCCATAAGCACTGTACCCAGCTTCACAATAGTCTGTAATTGCAGGACTTCTCTGTATAATCTTCGTTTTGAACAATGGCATGATGTTAGTAATTCTCCAGTCTTCTGAAATCTTCCAAGTCCAGGGAAGACTGAAAGATTATAGCCACTGCCCCTGCAATTTCCATTCAGTTCCTTCAAGTTCCTTGGATGCGTCTCATCCTTACCCGGTGCCTTGTCAACTTTAAGCACCAACTGAATATTCAAATCTTCTTCCTTATTAATTTTGAACTCTTCTAGTGACAGAGTTGCCTCCTCTGTCACCATGGACTGGGCAGCATCCACCACCATGTAAGGATAAGTTCAGAGTATTCATTTCATGCCTCTTCCCTCCATGTTTTATTCCTCTTTTAGGTTCCTAATCAGTCCTATACCTCCCTCTACCGCTCTTACTATTTATATGCCTTTTAACGTTTTGGGGTTCCCCTTACTGTTGCCTGCCAGTCTTTTCTCATAATTCCTGTTTGTTTTTCTATTGTGCCTTTTCACCTTGCCTCTGAATCTTCTGTATTCCTCTTGGATCCGTACTGTTTTCTCCCTGACAACTGTCAAAGACACACTTTGCCTTTATCTTAATTTCTATCTCCTTTGTCATCCAGGGAGCTCTGGATTTGTTTGTCCTGCATTTTGCCTTTGAGAGAATATACCTTGACTGTAATTGATCCATCTCCTCTTTCAAGGTGGCCCATTTCTCATAAGTGAACGAAGATATCTTTTCATCTGGTGTTTTCAGTGTCAGTAACTTGACCAATTTTTCATTTCCTGTGGTAAATCCATCTGTTGAGATGCCTGCATTAAATTCATCAGTGCAAAGATTTTGTTTACTTCTTAAGTGCCACACACAGGAAAATGTGTTAATGAGTGAATTAATCAGAGAAAAATAAACTACCAAACTGTTAGCAGGAGAGGAAGCTCAGCCTACTTATAAGTGATACAAATGTCAGTATGGTATTTGATGTAGCGTATGTAATGTGCAGCAGGATTCTGTGCATTAAGTCTGACAAATAGAATGGGATTATGTGATTGTGTATATTGGGATGATTGCGGGAATTTGCTTTCACCATGTTTTGATATGAAGCTCACATCTTTGAGTTGCGTTGAATAGGGTATGGGTTTTGATAGTTGAAACAATTTGGCAAAACATTGTATTGGGGTAAACATATGTGATCAGTGATTTTTCTGATTACAAACTAATTGTTTGGGTAGCTTTCATTGTTTACTGAGTTACGAAGCACTGCAGCAGCAAAACATGACTCCATTTCATGATGGGACATGGGTTCCCACACACATTAGTCACCTTCCCATGCACTCCTGAGGCACCTATCTCTGCCAACTCAATGCCATGTAATCCTCCTCGCTTAGGGAGGGAGAAGGTGGCAGTTAGCTGTTGAATACCCAGTGGTCAGTTTATAATGTTGGAAAACAGAAGCTTCTATCAACTGCATTGGGCACTTGAGCCATGAAGATCAGAATAATTGAAAAGTGGAGGGAGCAATGGGCCCAAAAGTAAGCTTTAGAGTCGAAGAATGTGTGTGTTCC